TACCTCCACTGGTTTTACCTAAATGTTCCTGGAACATTTTCGTGACCAACCTTTGATAGGTTGCTCCAGCATTTTTGAGACCAAAGGGAATTACTTTATAACAGTAAGTCCCCCTGTCTGTGATAAAAGAAGTTTTCTCTTCATCACTTGAATCCATTTTGATTTGGTTGTAACCTGAATATGCATCTAAAAAACTTAGAAGTTCATGCCCTGCAGTTGCATCAATTAACTGATCTATATGCGGTAAAGGGAAAGAATCTTTTGGACAAGCTTTGTTAAGATCTGTATAATCTACACAAACTCGCCACTTACCATTTTTCTTAGGTACTACAACTGTATTAGCTAACCAATTTGGATACTTTACCTCACGGATAGACCCAATTTTTAATAACTTTTGGACCTCATCTTGAATCACCTGGTTTTTGAAAGCTCCTTGCTTTCTTTTCTTTTGCTTTATTGGTGTGAATGATGGGTCTTCATTTAGTTTGTGAGTCATCACATCCGATGGTATTCCTGTCATATCAGCATGGGACCAAGCAAAACAATCCACGTTAGCTTTCAGAAATTCAATTAACATACCTCGCATGTCGGAGCTTAGATTGGTTCCAACATAAACCTTCCGTTCAGGCCATTGCTCAAATAATATCACAGCTTCGAGTTCTTCAATTGTTGTTTTGATATTTTCATTCTCTTCAGGCTCTTGAATTGTGTCAGGTCTCGAGTCTACATCTGTCCGTCCTTGCTCAGCTGAGGTTTGACCTTCAACTGTTTCCTGTAATTGCTATTTTTCTTTATTTACGGTGCTCGTATCTGTTACAGCATTAATACTCCTGGCTGTCTGCTGATCCCCACGAATTTGGCAAATCCCCCACGGTGACGGGAATTTAATAACTTGATGTAGAGTTGACGGGATAGCATCCATATCATGGATCCAAGGTCTCCCCATGATCATATTGTAAGCCATTTCCATATCTACTACCTGAAATTTAGTTTCTTTAACAACACCTGCAGCAAAAGTTGTTAGAATTACCTCTCCTTTTGTTACCACACTTGAATTGTCGAACCCAGACAAGGTATGCCCCTTCGGTATCATTTTGTCTTCAGCTTGCATTTTACGTAATACCCTTAGTAGTATAATATTTACGGAACTTCCTGGATCAATCAAAACTCGTTTTACATTAGTGTCGTGTACAAGTAAAGATATTACCAGAGCGTCGTTGTGGGGGTCATCACTCCTTCGGTATCTGCATTATCAAAAGAAATATTTTCGTTTTCAAACACCTGCCGTACCCGTTTCCCGTGTGTAATCGTTACTTTAGAAACCTTGTTGGAAGCCGTATATGT